TTGAGACTCAACTCTTGAGTAATCATTTGTCTGATCTCTTTCCCCGAGTTCTCCATTTCGGCGAATATGAAGCCCAAAGATAGGCCGGACGTCGACTCGACTCCAAACCTCTGTTTATCTGTTTTGTATCAAACATTTAGACATAAAAACTTGTTATTCATTTGTAAGTTATTTCCCATAGTATTGCAAACGTGTCTACAGTTCTGCAAATTCTGTGTAATATTGCATGCATTTGAAGGGCGTTTAAGTGCATAACTATTATTCATATTAAAAACTATTCAAACATTTTTGAAACATTTGTTTTGAAAACATCTCTTATTTCAAGAGCTCTTCTCACACTCTTGAATGAGTCAAACAAATACATATCAATGATATGTTTGGACAGTATTTCATCGAAAACATGTCATTCATTACCGAAATGTCTGCGAATCATAACCATCGAGTGGTCCGTATTGATCACGTAATAGAGGTTGAGGTTAGCCTCTTGTATGGATGAGACGGGCCATCTAGAAGTGCCATAAGAATCATGTTATCATCAGTTTTAAAACAATCAAAAGTTTTTCAATTAATGCATAGATAGGAAAAAGTGATCACAAGTGGAGTGCAATATAGCTGTAGATCTACTCTAATCTCTTACACAATGACTTGATATGAGGTATAAATGAAATGATTATCTCTAATGAATAGACAATACATAATAGACTTAAGTATTGCACAAAATAATGGTAAGACTGGAGACACGGGTATCACTTAAAGTCTAAAGATATTACGTAATCTTAAGTTTAAAAAACTTTTTATAGGAGACATTTAAAAAAGTGAAAACTATTTTTAAAAACAAAAATGTATTTAAAGTTTTGATTTAACAGATTAACCATAAAAGTAAGACATGAGACATAAGGTTAGGTATAATAAGACAATGGATGTGACGAACCCTTCTTTGGACAAAAAGATGTAGTCTTTGGGCAACGAAGAGATCTGTTGTGACATTAAGTGCCGAAAGTCACACAACTTCACCGATAGTGAGCTCAACGCCACGAATCCCAAGACATCACCGCTTGGATGTGTTATACAAACACTGCGACCGCTATTATTACTATTCATGACATTATTATTAATGTTATTATGATTACTGTTATTATGATTACTAAATGTATCGTTCATTTGGTGCCAATTGAGCACATCGTTCACTAGTTTAATGGCAACTAAACTTAATTCAGTTTTTT